TATTTTTCTTGTTTGCAATCCTAAGATGTACCAGTCTCTAAAATAACAGAAATATCAAAATAACGACAACTTCTAAACCGGTTCTTGTGATCTTTACCGGACAAGAAAGAAAAGATAGAGTAAGATTCCTAGGTTTTAAGAGTTATAATGACGTCAAGAGAGAGAGAGAGAGAGAGAGAGAGAGAGAGAGAGAGAGAGAGAGAGAGAGAGAGAGAGAGTCTCTCTCTCTCTCTGTGTGTGTGTGTGTGTGTGTGTGTGTGTGAATAGAGCCTCCCCTTCCCGAAAAACAACCAATGATTAGCAATGGATTTTAAAGCCATCTTCCTAGATCACCTTTATAGCAACAATCTAGCTATTATGAAATCTGTATCAAGGTTGCCCAACTAAATATAATTGTTTAATACATCTAAAATGTATTTAAAAAAGACTAACTTTTAAAAAAAATGAGGTATGAATTTTTTCATCTGCAATATTCTAGTGGATGTGAATTAGTTTAAATCTGTCCTATTAGTACATTCTTCAATAAGAATTTATCAATAACTGAACCATTCTATCTTACTCCGAGAATTCTGGTCATGATTTATCTTGGTTGTCATTTCATGGATTCCTGCTGAGAATACTACCAGTGGCATACTGGTTCCTTGGAGTTTGGAATCATTGGAGCAGAATAAGATGGTTCCTTCATAAACCTAAGCTTTAAACTACACTTTTATAGGTTCCAGCAAATTTTAAGTTAGGCAAGAAGTTTTAAAATTCTTAGAATCTCGAAATCAAATTGCTCCTGCCCTATATATCCTTCATCAGCATAACTGGTTCTTTAGCTTAAGAATAGAATAGAATAGAATAGAATAGAATAGAATAGAATAGAATAGAATAGAATAGAATTCTTTATTGGCCAAGTGTGATTGGACACATGAGGAATTTGTCTCCGGTGCATAAGCTCTCAGTGTGCATACAAACAACAAAGTGATAAGTCATGGATCATAAATCACAAGATACAATCATAAACCATAAGATGTAAACAACAGTATATGTTTCTGAGGATAATGTTGCAGGATCCAATCTGTGTTGGTCACCGGGACCAGAATATTCTGCTAGAGAGAAGTTCCCGGTGGAAGGGCTCCAGCATGAATATAAAAGCTTCGAAGACTGAACCTCTGGACCTGGTGACTGTCCCAGATTGGATCCAGTTCCTTAGCTTATATCCATGTAATTGATCAATACCTTAAATTTGTTTCCGTCCTAAATTCATGGTTATCTTTAAAAGAACAAAATACATTTTTCAGTCCTAAGACTTAATAATAGCAATAAATCCTACTGAAATTACTAAAAATTTCCTCTGAATAAACATGAATAGAATGGATCTATACAAGTGAATATATTTTTCAGTCAGTTTTATCTCAGTAATGAACTTTGCTTTTACAAATCCATTTTCTGTTTTTGCACTGTTTATATTAAATAAAACAAGACTTCATAACCCCAAATGAATTTTGATTGCCTGGTGTTTTGTGCTGTTTTCGAGCTGGAATTTATTTGATGACAAAATCATGAGAGTTAGTGGAAGATCACAAAATGAGGAATACTTAGGGATGTCAAAGTGTTCTGCTGCTCAAGCCCTTGGAGAGTAATTGAATAGGCTTAGCTTTTCTAGAACAGGCAAAACATCAGAGCCAATTATGTTTGCAAAAAGTCCTGGGCATGCAGATTGCTTTGCACATCTCTATAACTGTTGCAAAATCAATGATGTTAAAGGAATATTTCCTACAAATCAAAACAAATCTAGCTTTCCCATTGTCTCCCAAATTCACTTTCCAGCAGGCATATTAAGAACCTATTATTCAAAAATGTTCATCAGTCAGACACTGTATTTTGTAAACAACACATTAGTTGCTCCTGCAATCTTCGATAAGAGAAATAAAATATCAGGGACTTTAACCAAAATGCAGATGAAAATGTCAAGGGTGTGCAACTAAACAGAAGTGGTCTGTTTGCTTATGATCTTTTCGAAAGACCTACATGGCCAGTTTTGTGCATTCACATAGTTCATAATTCAAAATAGGTTGGTTTATTTCACAATTTTGTTCTCTCTTCTAAGGATGGCTTAGTTAGAATTTTTGTATGAAGGTATGTTTTTGGGTCTCCATTTGCAGCCCCTGAAACCACTTCCAAACAAAAGTGAAAATGTTTCCTGTCATTTTAACACAGACAAAACTCCTAGGTTTAGAATTAGCACCAAATAGGTTCAGCAACTTTTCTATTTCTTCAAAAGAAGGAGAAATGACATTATCTCTTCTTCATTGAACACACCATAGGTTCATTATTCAGGAGGAAGCATTGTTATGTACATAAGTCTCTTCTGTGCTCTTGAATTCTGTTTCTGACAAATAAAGCTTAAACATTAAACACCACAAAAATAAAATAAAAAGTGGCCAAAGTCTCAAGGGTTTGCCACATCTTTCGTAATTCTCATATCCTTGTGGCCTTTAAAGCATGAATACTGAAATCTCATATGATTTTGGACTTTTTTTTTTAATAAATCATTCCTGTGAGCTGGAATGTCTTCATGCTTAGGAGTCATAAAGACTACATGCAACATGACATGCAGTATATTTGCTAATACTTACATTAAATGTATCTGTGAAGGAACCCATTATTCTAAATACCATTTGAACATTGTGAAACTGTGTGAAGAGAGGGAATAGAGAAAACAAATGAAATATCTCTCACGCCTCCCCCTCCTATGCATTGATTTACCTGTTACTCCAATATGAGTAACTTACAAGAGTGAGAACCTTATAGTAACTCACACCAGAGCAGAAAACAGCCTGGTCTCTCTCTCTCTCTCTCTCTCTCTCTCTCTCTCTCTCTCTCTCTCTCACACACACACACACACACACACACACACACACACACACACACACACACAACAGGTGTTAAGAGTCTTTATTGAGGCTTCCAAGCCTGAATTAATATTCCCCAGTAATTCCCTTTGCCAGCACCAGCCCACCCCCAATGAGTTCAACAGGCTACACAAAAGAAGCCAGCACTAGTCCACAGTGCAAAGATAAGGCAACTACCTGAGGCAAAGGCAGGTCTCATGGAAAAGGCGAGTCTACAAGGCAAAGGCAAGTCCACAAGGCAAGTCCAGAATTCAAAAGGCACGATCCAAAATTGAAGGCAAGAATCATGACAGCTGAAGAATACACAGCAAGGAAACAAACACGTTGTTCCCAGCATTGTTTTACTCTCCTTGCTGAGCTAAATAACTGCTTCCTAATGCAGCCCATCAAGACAGGCAAGGCTGCCTCCTGGCAAGTAGCCTGGCTGATATTTGTTGTGCCTGCCTCCTCTCAGCCCTACATGCAGTAATGGGATTCAGCCGGTTCACACCAGTTCGGTAGAACAGGTAGCTAAATTTTGTTGAGTTTGGAGAACCGGCTGAATGCACACTGCTTCTGGAAGTCCATTCTAGGCCTGGGAGGCCTGAAGGAGGCCTCCCAGGCCTAGAATGGCCCACTGGAAGTGCGTGGATGCCACTACTGGAAGTCCATTCTAGGCCTCGGACACCCAGGCCTCCATCCACATAGAGAACTGGTTGTTCAGGTATTTGAATCCCACCACTGCCTACATGCCATCAAGTTGGGTAGGAAGGAGGCATTCCACTGACCAGCTGCAGCTGCGCCTCTTCTGTCTCTAACTTAGCCAGCTGCTGATCTGATTGCTCCCCCTGTGCTCCTCCCTTCCACTCCTGGCTCGTAACTCTCAGCTGCCTCCCCTCCTAACCTGCCCATGACTGGCTCATCCTCCTCTGAACTAGCATCTGGAGAGGTGTCTGGGGAAGCATCCAGGTAATCATACACAGCCTTTCATTGATGACTGTGGAACTGCCCTTCAGTTTTCTTGGAGTAAAGTCACTTTGGAGAACTTTTTAGGCTAACCCTGGTTAGATGAAATCAGCAATACAAATTATGGAGACCTGCATTTTGTGAAACACTGTCTTCCCATTATTTAGCTATTTGCTATGCAATAAATACTTTAGATAAGTTTTAAAACTGGATACAAAAAGTTAAAAAATTAAGCTTTTTAAAATTCACATGCTATCTCTTCCTGGTGGATTAATGACACATTAGCTGCAAGGGTTTTAAAATCAGTCTGATTAAAGCTCTTGACATGGATATGTTTGGTTTTCTGAGGCTTATTTATTTTTAGAAAGATTAGGAAGAAATTCAAGTTTATTTTCTGATCATTGGGGCAATGCCCTCCATTTTGCAAAAGTGTCTGCCTGCCAACTTTCTGACAATTATCTCATCCCAGAATGGATCTGTTTGTGGAGTTAAAATGAAATTAACTAGCCTAAGGCTATGTTACTTGTATCTTTTTATTTGCACTTGAATTTTCAAAATTATGAATGGGATTTCGTTTCTGTGTGCACAGCTGATATATCAGTCAGGCAACAGAGCCCTCAGCCATTCTTTCTATGAAATCAGAGATCTGTCCAGAAAACCATTGGCAAAGTAAAGAGAACAGAGTTTAATGTACTGTTTGTTTGTGTGTGTGTGTGTGTGTGTGTGTAGTGGGGAGAAGGGGAACAAAAAAATAAATACTCAAATGATTTTGTAGATTCTTTTAGAAAAATGGGTTGTTTTCATTCAGTAAAAGTCAACATAGCAACTTCAAAACCAGTATTTGATTTTAACAAGTTTAAGCCCACACGCCTTAAAGTCACCTAGTTTGAGAAACACTGGTTTAGACTGAATTTTTCAATTCCCTTTTTATCAATACACATAGCATAATTCATTATTGTCAGTGATGATTAACAAATCATTTAATAATAAGCTTTGAAGTTACTGAAAATCTAATTTTGAATTATAGTACATGTACTGATTTTGGAAAAAGAACATATCTTTCTAAATGAGGGTTTCTGCTTTTTTTTAATCTCAGATTTAAAGATCCTCCAAATGAGATAGAAGATAGGTTATCGATTTGTTTTGTAATTGCAGATAAAGGGAAAGAACCAGACAGGACATCCTGCCCGCCAACCCTAATTTTACATACTGAAATGAAGAATAAGCCAACAGAAAATAAAAATGAGAAGGTTAGTTTCCTATTGTTTAATTCTGAGTTGAGAAAGACATTGATTTTGTCCATAAATTTCTCCTGCAAGGTATATCCCCCCCAAATCGGCATATTCAAGAGTTTGTTTCTCTATCCTCCTGCTTTGCTTCATCTTCTAAAATCCCTAGAATCTGTAACTATCATTATTGAGATGATGGGCAAAATGTAAATTATGAAAACTGCACTGATCGATAAGCTCCGCAAAACTGAGCCATATATCCAGAGATCCAGTTTGGTTTACTGATTAGGGTGTCAGACTAAAAAGAGGGAGGTTGTGAGTTCTAGTCCCTCTTTAGCCATGAAACCCAGCTGGACGATTTTGGACCATTCACTGTTTCTCAACCCAATCCACCTCACAGGGTTGTTGTTGTTGTGGGGAAAATAGGAGGAGGAGGGTATGCACCAAGCAGTTATCTTTTAGTCAGTCAGACTTCTCTGTCTTATTATTCAGGAATGGCCAATGCAAAACTCATCCATGTGTTGATGAAACCCAATTCCCATAATCCTGTGATCAGATATAAAATTAACTGTGAACTAGTTCTATGAAATAATATTATGTGTAATACCTTTACCTCATTGAGGAAAAGTGTAATATAACAAATAATATGCTTGTTAGAACATAAATAAAATGTGTAGTATAATAATGTCCTTGGCTGATTAATCTGGTTTTTTTTTCCTGAAGACTCATTCTTTAAAACTACTCCCAGATGATGAAAACAGTTCAAATGGCAACAAGCCTGTTGCTTCTACTCCTGTTCCAGGATCTCCCTGGTAAGTACCCTCTAGGAATGATATTTTTCCATTATTTGGGCTATTGCCAAGTATAAATTAAAGATCTGCTATATCCTTGTTAGCTAAAGAAAAGGAGAAATGTAATGGTTATTGGCTATTATCCAATGTTTAACATTTTTCTTCAGAAACTGACACCTTGAATATATCTCAGTGCCCTCACAACTGCACAAATCAATGAAATTCTGCTCCATCCCTTAACCTGACACTGTTGCAAATCTGAGGTGCAATATCAATGATGTAAAAAGGACATTAAAGAAAATATAACCTGAAATTTAGGAAGTATTCCTGATATGCTTAAATAGAAGGCTGAGTCAACCTTGAGCCAGTCAGGATCGAACTTCTGGCAATGGGCAGAGTTAGCCTGCAATACTGCATTCTAACCACTGCACCACCATAGCCCTTGAAATCCTTGTATTGGAGTCAAACAATTCAAGTTATAATCTCTTAGTTTGCTCAGTATCTACAAATGGGCACACATCTAGATATGATAGGAAGAAAATAGCTAAAAGGTTAAAAACTACACTATACAGCTTTTTAAATTTTGTATTTTATGGATATTATACTGTTTACATTTTGACTCTGTAGACTTTTATAAGTATTTGCCCACTGAACATGGGCTGATATAGTAGAACCCAATCCAACAATACTGATATCACACTAGATTGGTTGATAGCCTGATCCTAATGTTATTTAATGACAGTCCCAAGGTTTAATGGAATTTAATTCCATACAAATGTTTAAAAGATTGCAACTTCAATCCTAAATGTGTCATTCAACTTTTTTTGCACATGTGTGTTGATTAAGCAACAATTTTTGTAGGGCTTTTGTTTTTCCCTTTATCCTTTCCCTCCCCCAACCAGGAAAAATAGTGGATGGATATTTTGATGCTTTTTAGTATTTTTGTAATACAGTTTTAATTTGTTTACTAGACTGAGACTGTAAAAAATACGTATGTTCACTAGTCAGAAGGCAGCAGTAATACAGCATTCTGGTAATCTGCTTCTATTTGGTTTATACCTGGATTTAAAAAATATTTGAGAAGAATTTATGAAACGTTCCATTGTTAATATGCTCCAATTCCTCATGACTATAATGTACTGTATATTGTTTTCTTGGCCAAAATATAAATTCTTCCCCTGCCTTCCCACCTTTCCAGACCAGTTTATAATCTGGAAAGTTTATTGGCCTCTCTTCTAAGTAGTAATTAGATTAGACCCTGCTTATCTTTTTCAAGAAAAGCTAAAATTGGTTAGACATTTGCAGTGGTTTAAGGGCTTTCTAAACATGTCCCTATTTTCCTGTCTGAAATATTGGAGTATAGATATTACTGTTCTTTGAATTATCACTACTTTGAACTTTATCTCTGAAGTTCATAAGCAAAGCTCTGGTAAGCTCACTGACATTGCTGGCAAATCAACTACTTCAAGAGCAGGAACCCTAAATCATTTAGCAGCCATAAGGATGCCTTGTGAAGTTCATGTTTTTATTCTGCAATTCTTTTTTACTTGCTGCAGTACAGATCTGAGCATCTGTATTGGCTGAATAAAACTAGTTCAAAGCCAGGAGTTAGCGACTCTGTCTGGTGCCAGGAACCATGGAAATAATCTTGAACAGTTGGGTCTTCATCCCTCTCACAATTTATGAGATTGCCAATTCTTACAAGCCTGGATCTCATTACATTTCATTTGAGAAGGTTGAAATTTCATGTGGATTTACCTGAATTTGTCAAAACATGAACTTTAGTATTGCATATGAAAGCTCTTGAGATCCTGGCTATTTGGTTTGTTTGTTTTTATTTTAAAAAATAATTCCCAGGATGTGCAAAACTTTGCAAGACTGTATTGGAGAAAATTGCTCTATATTCACCCAATACAGAAATGGTTATAGTCTTTGGGCAGGATTGATAGGCTGAAGATTAAATATTATGTGGGGCCTTGAAAACAAATTACATATTATGATATCAAAAGATTTGTGCTTAAAAGATAACTTGTTAGTTTATATTGGTGCTTTATAATATGATCTTAATATATTTATTTTGAAATGCAAACTGAATTGCTGCTTATATCCAATTGAATACGGTCAGTATTGTGTTAGCTTTAGAAGCATTTTATATACAAACCTCGGCCATTACCTCCATTTTTAATTAGTGTTCTGTCTTTGAACAAATCACTATATTTTTGCATTTAGATAATTGAAAACTTTATTATGCCAAATATGGACGAGCTGGGAGATGAGTCTGATAATTTTTAAATTAAATGTCAAATTGGGTTAGTAATGGGAAAGTGAAGAGATTTCTAGAGGGAGCTGCCATTTGGATCCATTTTAAGCACCTCTCCAGGGATATTCACTAGGTCTTTCAGTCCGATGTGAAAATGGGCCATTTCCATTTCAGCTATTACCTTGCTTTTATTAGATAAATGCCTAAGCTTCAGCTGGCCCAGTGGTAACAGTTCACACAATGAATGTATTTGTAGCTGGAAATGAATTCTACCATCATCTGGGGAGATGGAAACTGTCTGTGATATAGGCCAGACTTTGGGATTTCAGGAATGGGAGAAAAAAAATGAATAGGGGGAAGATTCTGAAAGGCAGGTGTTCAGGAGTTTTATTTAAAGTGTATGCAATTTCAAGTTTATTTTGAATAGGTCTCTAACCTAACCCCGCAATTTTACAAGTTTGCATATTTCTGCCTTACTCTGAGCCCCAAGCAGTAATTATAAGCAAATGTTTTGCAATATAACAAAATACATATGAAAATGCACTACAAGGCCCTTGACAGGCAAGTAGGTGCTTTCTGTTTGCTGTTTAGTGAGCTCCTGCATTCAGCTTTAACATTTTCAGGAATGCAAAGATCTTTCCAATTATTTCTGCAGAATTCTGAGGCTCAGCTGAAGTGCTTCTTCAGGACACTTCTCTGTACAAGCAAACAATTTTTAGTGAGGATAACATTTTTCACTTATTTTGAGTCAAATTCCAGCAAAACAGTCGGTCATTGTGCTAGGGAAGAGTTACTGCTCATCTACATTCTCCATTGTTTCAGCTTGTTTCGTATACAGTGAGATTAGCACTTGCCACAGCATCTCATTTGATTGTTTATTTAAGTTATGGTCAAAGGCTGATGTTCATTCTTTTTAAGCATTTGATTCAGAAGAACTATTACCTTAAAGCTGGAAGAGACAAGAACTGCAGATCTTCAGATTTCTTTCTGGTTCAAAATAAAATCCAAGATGGAACAGAATTTCATTCTTAACTCTTCCCAACTCTCAGGCTCCCTGGATCCAAAATGGCAGCTTCCACAAACCAGGAAGGCTCTATTTAGTATTCTCTGGATTCAGGAACAATGTGCAAGCAAGGATATACGAAGCATGAAATTTCTCCAATCCTTATCTGCAAAATTCAATTTATCCTTGACATTTTCAGCCTGGAGTTGCCAGGCACACGGGAATTATGGGACCATCTACAAATGCTGAGCATTTGTCCATCTTTGCTTATCCACACATCATGGAAAGGAAATTCCTTTTAAGATCCCTTTCAATTATTGTCAAATATGGAGGGAAGAATTGGTTCTAGATTGGTTCTGCTTCTTTAAATCTCCTTATTCATTTTGCTAGTCTACCCTAGCTCAATTAATTAAAAAGAGAGAATTAAATTATTTAATCCCCCATAGCAGCTGGTCCTGTAGCAAAACCTATATGCAGAATGTGGTCTCAGTAATACAATCTGAGGCCTGGGCTCCTCCCTCTCCATTTTAACAAGTACATCCTGCTTATTTAACTCACTGTGAGCTTCACAGGAGAGAGATTTTCTAACCACATGCAAATGAATGAATGAATGAAGCTGACACTTAACAACCAGGCATCTGGGAGACATAACAATTTATGACTGTCAAACATGTTGAGAGGGACAGAATCAAATTTGGCTTGGCTTAGCTTGGCAATGAACCAAACCATTTACTGAATTATTTGGGAAATGGCTTTACTTATTTCTAAGTCAACCCAATGCTATCTATACATATCATTATCTCTAAGTGTTCTGAATCCTGTTGTCTTATTTTGGATACACATCTGTAATTATGAAGAATGTAGGTATTTTTTTTGGTAGCTTCCTACAATCAAATGGTTCCTGGGTGGCTAAGGCTCAGAGTAGAATATTTTTAGTAATTAAATACTGGCAATCAAAGGAGTGCAATAAATAAAATTACAATAGTCATTCTCCAAAATAGAAAGGGTGGATTTTTTTTGCAACCAAAGTCTTAATAGCTTAAATATTTCTTTCAAGGATGAGTGAGCATGTATGACATATTTGCCTCTCTCTATTCACCCAAATGCTGGGGGATGACTGATACCATAGTTGCCCATCTGGCAGGTACAGATAAAATATTATCAAAATATGCCAAGTCTGCATTTCTTAAGCATCCCTGCATTCCTCCTGGGTTTTATACTCCATCTAAAAGAAGAACTCAGCTAGAAAGAATGTGGTCATTTGTTAACAACACAATCTCTATTTTTATATAATAATGTTATTAAAGTTTATAGTTATACTAGTAAAACCTAATGCAAATTAAAGAAAGATAGAAGAATAAAAAGATGCAAGAATGAAAAAAATGAAAATAGAAAAAAGAGAAAAGAAAAGTGATTTTCAACTTTTAACACAAAAATAAAAAATTTAGTAACTTAGCATCTCCTCTTTAAATACAACAGACGATGTCTTCTTCCCATAGCTCAATAATTTATATATAATTTATAAACAAATTATATTGTAAAGTATATAATTTATAAACAAATCCATCAAAAATTCAGCAAAAATGATGTCAGCAAAAGTCCATTAAGGGCTATGAGAAATAACACCAAATCTATTTTAACCTTAATCAAATAAACCAACTTTATATTCCTTCCTTTTACTTCTAACAATTTTAATATTTATTCCATTCAAATAGTGCCCTAGAATTAAATTTCATTTCATTTTTCCTTTGTCCCTTC